GGGTCAGGTTTACAAAGTCTCACTAGTTCCTAGAACACTGGCAGGCACATCAATACTGAGTGAACCAGAGAAAGAATTAAAAAGTTACAGTGACTGCATCTGTGTATCTTGGTGTGTGTTTTTAATGTTTTTAAAATTGATTTTAGAGAGAGAGGATGGGAGAGGAAGAGAGAAAGTGAGAGAAACATCAATGTGAGAGAGAACATCGAACAGTTGCCTCACACACACAACCTGACCAGGGATCGAACCCAAAACCTGGATATGTGCCCTGACCAGGAATTGAACTGGTGACTTTTTGGTGCATGGAACTACAATCAACCTACTGAGTCACACAACTCTGGGCTATATATCTTGTTTTTATAAGATGCACAGGCTAAGGCCTCAAGGGTTAAAATTCATAATTATAATTTGGAAGACCCCAAATATTTACAAATTGAAGCAATGAAATTGGTTTTTGTTATGTGTTATTGGTTTTTTTTGGTGGGGAATAATTCCAAGGAAACCATATGTGTCATACATTCATTCCACCTTTAAAGCTTTTCTCTGAGAATTAGTGTTTACTTTGCATTTTACAACCTGACATGAGACTAATATAATCAGACAGAAACAGCCTGAATACCCATGATAACCATTTCCCACTTCTTCCTTCCAACTACATACTGCAGTCAAGGGCTCCCTAAGCCCTGGCAAGATATAGATAAAGCAAGAATGTATACTGTATATGCCATCTTAGGAGGAAAAGAAACAACAGACATTTGAATCACTATGGAATTCTGACCTCTTCCATCATCTAAAGGTTCAGCTGTCAGCTTCCACACCTCCATTCAAGGCAGTTTAACATGTAGTAGCTATTTCCACTTCATAAATGAAATAAGACTATGCAACCACAAAGAAATCAAGAAAGAGGTCAAGGTTGTCACAAACTCGAAGTGGCAGGAGCAGTAGGGCCCTGATTCTGAACAGTGATTTGGATGAGTAGTAAATCAACATTGCATGTTAAAAGACAAGTTAAGAAGAGTCTGGGGTTCTTGGAGCGTAGTCTTCCAATGACATCTCACTTTAAGCCATTTTCTTGTTGCCCACCCATCAGGGCAGGATAAATAATCTCTCACCAAAATCTGAGAGAAAAGCTGCCCACTGTGTGTGCATCCAAAACTGGCAGTTCTGTAAGATTGGGGAGGCCAGAATACATATCTTGGGCTAGGAAGCCAAAAAGAAAGTATTAGCTTGAGATGAAATTCAAATATCAGAACCAGAAGGGACCATCTGACGACACAGAACCACTTTTGGTGCCTGACCAAATCCCACCCGAGCCCTGCCTGGCAGGTCGCCAATCACGCTACCTCCTGTTACACTCCAGGCACCAGCCCTGGGTCTATCCCTGATCTGGCTATTGTGGCAGAACCTGTGCCAATTCATAAAAGCATGGTGGTTCCAGTGTCAGCTAGACCCTCATGGTTCTGTTCTGAGAATGTGGGGTTCTAAGCTAATTTATCAAACTGAATCATTTCATAAATGACACTCAAAATTGCTTCAAATGGAAATGAGAAAACTCTGAAAGCTTCAGCTCTGATCTGAGATGACTTCCGCCATTCCCCTGCCCCAGGGCAAATGCTCAATGAACACACACACACACACACACACACAAATTTCCTTCTCTCCCTGCCAATCTCTGAACCCCATGACCAGCTTTCACTGAGAAATTGATAAAAATCGAGAACTGAAAAAAAAGGCATCCAGAACGAACTAACTGCCTTCTCAGTATATGAACCAAGGAACTGAAGACAAAGTCTTATCCAATTCATCCAGCAAATATTAATTGAGTCCATTTATTGAGTACCTACTGAGTACAAATCTCCCTTTCACCAAGATAATGGCCCTGGTACCAGAAATCAGCTAGGCTGTTAGTACAAGTCTGCTCTCTGTCTCTCCCCGGAAGTTCTCGGTCCACTGCGAGGGCCTCTCTTGACCTGGAACAATCTTCCTTCCAGAATTCTCTTACATAATTACATCATCTTGCCCATTCCGGTTTCATCTGCTGGCTGACCTAGTTCCAGCTTATTATGAAGTGGTAACGATCCGTCCTGACCCTGTCCACCATGTATACATAGCCAGGCCATGTGACTGCTTGGAAACCTCCCTCCCCCATCCTTTAAGGGAAGGAGCCCTCAGTTTTCTAAGAGGAAAAGAACTTAAGAATGTGTTGACACATCCCAGACACCATTTTCATCCTTTCAAAATGCAGTATTATTTTCTCTCTAATATCACAGTAACTGATGACTGGAGAGTTTAACCCAAATTTGCTTAATATTTTGATCTAAGAGCTTGAATCAACTTTGAAATGGAAATCATTGCTATGTTTTGCCTCTATAGGAACCAAACATGATTTTTATTTTTAGATATATTTTTATTGATTTCAGATAGGAAGGGAGAGGGAGAGTTAGAAACATCAATGATGAGAGAGAATCATTGGTTGGCTGCCTCCTGCATACCCCCCACTAGGGATCGAACCCAAAACCCCGGCATGTGCCCAGACCAGGAATCAAACCGTGACCTCCTGGTTCATAGTTTGACGCTCAACCACTGAGCCACACTGGCCTACCCAACCATTCTTATATCTGGTATTTATTCTCTTCAAACTGTATATGAATACATCCTCTACCACCCCACAGGCATGGAACAGCGTACCAGGGGGAAGATGAGAGTGCCAGGAGGGAAACAAAGTCCCCATATGAACTAGCGCACCTTTCCAGAAAGACAGTTTGCCCTTGGAAGAAAACAATGTTTTATATTAAAAGCAGCTCCACTACATTATGGAGTAAAATGACCAAATACATTAATTTTTTTAAAAAGAGCACTTAAGACTTCAAAGAAAGTTCCTCCTTGCAGAAGTCTGTCAAGCTATGTCTACCAATAGATGGAGCTTCCTGCAAATAATTATCTTGCTTTTAAATGGTCTTTGAGAAAATTTTTGAAAAATGTTTCACATACACTATGAACTTCTTGAGGGTATGAACTACATCTTGTCCTTCTCTTTGTCTGCGGGGACCTAGGACAGGACCTAAGAGAGTACCTAGCCCAAAACAGACACTCAGTAATGTTTGCAGAATTTATTTGGCTGAAATAATGACAATGGCATTATCAATAACCAAAGATTTTTATCACATTTGGATGAGAGGAAGGGAAGGAGAACAGCTGTATGAGGAAGTGGAATAGAAGCAATCCAATTTACCAAAACAGTTATGGCTGCCATGGGAACAATCAGATGAAGCAGCTCTGTTCAGTTCTTTTCCACTTAAACAAGTACAGGAAGGTAAATATTGTACTTGTTTATCTCCCATAGAAGGGGGTGGGGCTTAGGACACGAGTCTACCAGGTGACACTGGTAGCCATTAAATGTAATAACCTTTGAAGAGTTTGAAACATATTATAATGATAGTATCAATACTAATAAGTTCCAGTTTGTACACTGATCCTAGGAAGCTGGTTTTAATTACTTAAGGGTTAAGTGTCAAACAACTGCTGCTGAGACCTGACAACTGTGAAAGTAGATTCATATGTGCGTGTACATATATACATAAAAATGATATGATGTGAACTCACTCTTCCTTATTTCTAGAAGTGTTACCATTTTAATTCACTGGCCCTAAACCAAGTGACAAGATGAAAGATGATTCAAAGAGCAGAGTGTATAGCAATGCTTAAATTTTCTACTTCCCTGGTGGAGACCCTGCATTTTAATTCATTTGTAAATACTAGAACAGATGAGTATCACACCCTCTTTCTCCACACAATCCCTCTTATCCTGCAGTGAGTCACTCTCCATCCCATGTGCCCTGTACTTTCCAAACTGCAGAGAGAATTTGGGAGAAGGCGGAAGTGAGGACTCCTTGCCCCAAAAGTCTAATCTATGAACAGGTGAGCCCATCTCACTGCTGCCTGTCTCTCAGGGAACCTTCCTTTTCTGAGTCTTATGTCTCAGATATGTGAACTGCCAATCAACACGAGGTATTTCAGATTTTCTTAATAATGGTAGCCGGAGCTCCACAAAACTTCAACTGAAATCTAAGCAGAAAGCAAAAAAAAAACTGTGTTACAACATTCACATGTTTGTAGTGCCTGAGGAAGACGTGATAGCAGCTGCCAGGGACACACTGTGACACCAGGCAGAGACAGAGCAAATGAATCCCAAACCAAAAAACACCTGCAGTGTTCCCTCCCTGCCCTGAACCAGCAGGCACCCCCTTTCCTGCTAAGAATTAAGTTAGTAACTTTATATTATGTTATTTCTGTTGGAATCAGTCATAGGAGTAGAGAATTTGTTGTATAATCTTTTCATTTTATTCTATTGTATATAAAGACAGTTTTTCAATTCACAACATCTGGAATCAAATCCCTGCGCTTTTATTAACTGTGCAAGTCCCCTGACATTTTATAGGCATACATTTCTGGGTCTAAGTTTCTTCATCCGTGGGAAAAAAGAAAGTCTACCCGGTCACCAAAGTTATCCTGACATTGAAACAGATGAACTCTATAAAATACCTATATGTGGCCAGCAATATAGATGCCCAATAAGGTCTCTTTTTCTATTTAGTAGTAGGAAAACAACACAGGCAAAAAGTGCTATAGCGAAGACCAAATTGGCCACGGGCCCGGGTCACCACCGCCCCAGGTCCCGGAAGTCCTCCAGCAGATGACATAACCAGGTGGCACCGAGGAGCCTGCGCTCCTCGCCCATGTCCTGGAAGAATCTCTGGACACAGGAGTTCACCGTGGCCCCTGCAACTAACCAAGCACCTTTTGCAGGGCTCAGAAGTGGGCATTTGAAACTTGCTCCTCCACACCCTTATTCTGAACGCATGCGCTTTCCTGAACTCTCAGGGGACCGCGGTCTCGGAAGTTAGTGAATGGAGAAAAGCAACTCACCAAGAAGAGAGGGTTCAGTGAGTCTGCACAGGAAACACCATTTGTACCTCCCGCCTTCCAACCCAGACACGCACCTGGGGATGAACTTGGCCTCCTCCCCGAGTCGCGCCTGGAAGTCCCGCCAGGCGGGGCCAGGGCCAGCGGAGCCCCGAAGGGCTGCCAGCACCTCCGCGGCCGTGTCCTGGTCGTCCTTGTCCTCC